AACTATACGGTATGAGCAGTTTTGGAAGAAACATTTTAGATAATAAAAACTAACAGTATAGTAACTTTGGCTAGTTACATTGATTTTGCAGTAACTAAATAATGCTAAGTAAGTTAGTTACTAAGTAGGAATATAATATTTCGTCACACTTCTGATCAAAGTTGTCAAACTGAAATGGTTACAGACATTAACATTCAGCTGACTGCTAACACATTCCCTTTATAGTGCTAAATGTATCAAGAGTTGTAAAATCTCTGTTTATTTGAGCTACAGCTAGAAGGGGATCAGGGGACTCAGGATGTAAGTTTCAGCGGAAGAAGTGCAGCTTCCAAAATCATTGGTTTTTACATTTTTGTGGCAGATTTAGCCAACGTGAGTCACTCTCAGTTAATCATTACTTTGTGTTTTTATAAAAGTGACAGAATAACATTTATAAACATAAAAAACATTTGTAATCAAAAGTGTCTCCACATGTGCGGTTTATGTCCAATCACAGCCTGCATACTCTCTGTGATTTGAGGCAGTAGATTCCAGGTGGTTGACTGACAGCAGGGAGCTGGGTAATATCCATCAGTGGGGGTTTGTCAGCACTTCTGTGGGCTTTGTTGGTGGTTATGCAGGACAGCCAACAGCAATAAAGTCTCTTATGATGTGGAAGAAGTTGATTCAGGGCCTCTGTGCCAAGAGGAATCCAGATGTGACTCTTAAAGTCTGAATATGTCTCGCAAATACATATAATACTGTGCAGATAAGACCCATCAGCTCTTCTAATCTACAAATCTCTACACTTTAACTGATAGCAAAGGGAATGTCAACAGTTTAATAGATCTACTTTTTTACCCCAACAACAAACTAACACACAATACCCTACATCACCTTTAGCCACTCTCACTTTCCCTGCAGGGAGTTGCAGTGCAATAATAGAGCCACTTTCACAGATGGATCTTGAACTCTTAGGAAGGGGAAGTCTGGCCTCACAGTATTGCCCTACTGGCAGTTCTTGCTGCCCAGTCACAAACTGTAACTCTATAGCCTCATTGCCACGCTCCATATCCTCTCCATGACCTCAGGCCCAATTATACAGCTGACCCAAGCTTGATGATATAACCTTGGGTGTCTTTTGGGGTCTGCCGGTGCTCAGGAGGGGGACCTCCTGTCTGTCATGACATGTCAGCACTGTGCGTTAACCAGACACTTCCTATGAGTGGTCCCAGCGAGGGCTTGTGGCTCCCATGAAAGACCCTTTGCATTTCATCACACTACCTGAACAAGAAGTTCTTTTTCAACCTAAATAATATCAAACCAAAAGAGCTTAGTGTGTTTTTATTTCTATAAAAACTTCGTTTTCATACAGTTTTCACTTTAAAATGTATTTTTCGATCCTTTCTTCTTTTCTTCTCATATGTTTGTGCTCAAAATCACCAGTGTGTCTATTAAGGATGCCTGTTCACTTTCTTGCTAACACATGGCACATTAGCCCTTCAATAAAACAGGTTAATTGGGTTTCATTATGGCATTGTTGTAGATATTAGTATATTTTTATTTGGGAGAATTTCTTGTTATAGTATCATCTGAAAACCATTTAAACACCAAAAATATCCTTCCACCCCTTTATTACCACAAAGTACCCATCTTTTTTTCTTATTTTCATCTGGTAGAAGCACAGTGTCAAGTTCAAATCATCTAAAACCGGTAAACTGGGCATAAAAAGAGCTTACTGTTTTCTAATGCTTTCTATAGTCAGCAGATTCAAAAGAGCATCTTTTGTGTTATGACTGAACAGGAAATTCATATTGTTACCGTAACTAACTGGAAATGTGCAATCAACATATCATTAATATTTCCAAGAAATAGGGCATTTCTTAAGTAAAATGGGCTCCAACCCAAAATTAGATTGGTTTACAATTTAAAATGGTTGATATTTGTACATGAAATCAAAGCCCATCTTATTGTATCAATGAACTGTGTCAGAATGACCCATGCATGCTCAGCAGCTAATGCGCAGCAGAACTCAAATGTGACAGCTGGAGACAGCCACCACAACCCCCTTGACCCTGTGAGGATTAAAAGTTCTAAGAAATTGATGGCTGGACGGATGTTTTATATACTTAGAAAACTCTGGAAAGGCAGACAGTCTCTGTTAAAAATATCCATGATGGACAAAGAGTTGATTTACAATTCCATAGCAGACAACATTTAGCCAGAGGTAAAGGTTAATAGTGGGTTAGGTAAACATGTTGCTGTTTTCGCCTGCTCCATGCCAAAAGAAGGATTTTGAGCTTAGCAAAACATCCCAGGTTTAACCCAGGGTTTATTATGTCACATTGTTTGCTTACCTCTTACCAGTATACCTCACTGTAGTAAGCCAATTCAGTCCTTTGGTATCTAGAGGTACTGAGAATCCTTTGCAACATAAATTTTGTCAACCATCCAGGAGGGGTCAAATGGCAGCCTGCTGTATGCAGGCGAAAATCTCTTGCAACATAGACTGAAATATAAAGGTGAAACAGCAATGGATGTGATCAAATTAATTTAAGAAAAATATAACTCTACATGTAAAATGGAACATGGATAAAACAAAATACTCATAAAACAGTCAGTGCTTTCCTTCAATATATATGCTACATACATATGGCATGTTATGAGATTTTGGCCCTTAAAAATTCTTCAAAGTTACAGATTGTTTTTCTGTTTACCTAACCAACTTTATACATACATGTGTTCTTATAGAGAGGCTTAGACTGAGCTTTGAAGCCTCTGTAGGCTTTTACTACACAAGCAATCTGTTGCAGGCAGTCACAAGCTAAATGGTTTGTTTTCCAGACTTCACCCCCCACCTAGCTGATGGATCTATGGACAACTTACTGCTGTCATGCAGAAAGGTCTCTCTCTTTCCAGTAATGCCCAGTTGCACACAGGAATTGATTACATCTATTTTGCTCACTTGGTTTTTGATGAAAAGACGTTTATCTTAATCATCCTCTTAATTCTGGCAACAAATTGGAAAGCAGAGCTGTTTCTTGAATCAAACCAGACCATTTCAAGTTGTCCAAGTCTATTGTATGTTTTCTTTTTGGATTTGACTCTTTTGGCAAAAAGAACAGAACTTAAAAATCCATTAGGTAAAGAACGAACATAAAGGGAAACAACAGTTTAAACTAAGTTTAAAAAAACAACAACAGGGGAATCTGAAATTTTTTTTTCCAAAAATGCACAAAATCAATTTAAATTGTATTGATTTTTTGGACAAACTTGCTCTTTCACTTGATGTGAAAAGAGACATTCTCCTGTACGACTTTATATCATAATGGCTATCATTTACAATTGGACTATGGAACAAGCTCAATACCATAAAAAAAAGCATACTGGAGTGACGGTACATGTATTTTTGTTTTTGTTAAAAATAAGCCTTTCAGTTGATATTCATTTTACCAAACAAATACAGTGAAACAGAATAACGAGGATTGCCAACCCTCACTAAACTTGTCTTTTTTGAGATATTTTTTGATGCAGCTACATAAAAAAAAACGAAATGCATTATATTGAGCTGCATAAAAGGTAAAGTGACAGAAATGTGGACAGAACAAAAATGTTATGTCAGTGTTTCCCATTTTCAAAAGTAACAGGATATGTGCTTACTCTGAGTTTAACTGAACTTGTACTATAGATAAAATATTTTAAGTCCAAATTCAGTTGATGTGAAGATGTTATATGCAATTAACATAATTTACTGCATATTGTATTTCAAACAACCATTTCTAGCGGTTTTATTGTTGTTCCATCCATCCAATGCATACACTCATGCATGCCTCCACTATAGTCCGGTACCGATCTTCAAGTTTAAACATCAGTAAAGTTACCCCAAATTAGTATTTATTACAAACAAATGATAAACAAACCCATACTTTAAAAAAAGGGTATTTAGATTTTCAAACTTCTACTTTTTACTTCTACTTCCCATAACAGGAGGCTTTGCTGTGGTGTTAACAGCAGCTAACATGGAGGCCTGAATAGGCATCAAAAAATGATTTTTTTTTTTTTTACTTTTTTTTTTTAATATTTTAATATGACCTGTCCCACACTTTCCGAAAAAAAAGTTTTTGATTTAAAAGGATTTAAAAAAAGAACCTGAGAATTTGGTCTACAACTGACCTGTCCAGGTTCTAGAGTAGGGTTACCAATTTAAAAACAGAGGGGTCCAAATAAAGTAATTCAACAACTAGTAAAGGTCCGGAGACATATTTAATTATAATAATAATTATAATAATAGTTACTTTAAACAGCAAAACAGCATTTAACACTGAAAGAAAATAAGGTGTTTATGAATCCATACTATACATTGACTTTTTAAATAAAAAAATATAAGAGAAATAAACAATTTTTTTGCATTTTAACATCTAATGTGTTTTTTTGAAGTAGAGAACAACAATTATTCAGTTTCATATATAGACAATTTCCTGATTCAAATATTTTATAAAACACCTGAACTGACTGTTTTTATTTTTTTTATTTTTATTTTTTTATGGCCTAATGAGAGAAGTGGGCTTTATGCTACCCTGCAAGGCTTTAAAGCTGTGTTTGAATGATGGCAAAGTCCTTCTAAAGCACATATCAAGGTGCTCATTTGTAAGTCTGTATCAATATTTATTTTTGATTATGGTAGCGGTGGGGAATCCTGCTTCACAGCAGTAGGTTGAGCCAAACATAATCAAAATGTGCAGGGTCATCTTTTTGCACGCCATTTCACTTGTCTTTAACCAGTTTACTGCAGTTCCTCCAGCAGTCTACACTTTCTCTGCTCAACTTTTCTCGAAATTGTGGCACAGCAGCCAACCAGGGACTGGTTGTAGGCTATGTTTTTTTCACTTTAAATTGAATACAGAGAAGATAATGTTAAAAATGATCGTCTCTGTTAACACTACCCCCCCCCCGATATTAGAACAAAAAAAGACACAAGACACTCATCTTTTCTTAAAATAAGATTTTTAATATTACTTATTATCATAAAGATATATTTACACACTTTACAGAAATAGAAAATAAAAACACAAAGCTACGCATGAAAGGAAAAAAAATAAAATAAGTACTCCAAGAGCTAAAGCTTATCTTTTATAAATTAGAAACCAAAAGTTCAAATATGTACACAGTATTTCAACCATTTCTGATACACTTGTTTTATTTATTTATTCATGTCATTTATTTTTGCCCAGTTCAACATCAAAACAGAGACAGGGACTGTACATTTGGCCTGGTGAGTAATATGAGCACACACCATAAACAGAATATAACTTTAAGGAGTAATACATTGTCTTTCAAATGGTATCTGCTTGAGATCTAGTAACACTGTTGTGATAAGCATACAGACTGCATCTTCTCCTTAGATTGTTTTGAACGTGACTGACTGCTCTTGGACACAGCGGGTGCACGGATGGGGAATGTGTCGCCATCGAGGCAGGAGGGGCCTGTGCTATTCTGGGTGTAGGAAGTCTCATTTTGAGGCTCTGAGATAATGACTGATCATTGTCTTTCCTCATGGGAGTTGGAATCTAGTTATCTCTTGGATTGCCCAGCCAGTGGAAAAGTCTCTATTTGTTGGATTAAATATCAGCCACTCGATCCTGCAGACACCCACTTTGAAGGCCAACATGATACAGTTTGACAGGATAAGGGATTCAAAGAAGAAAATTGTGGAATGTGTAGCTCTGCTTCCATTTCTGTAGTAAATGAAAAATAGAAAAGGATTTTCATGTAGTAGGGAATTAAAGACAGAATACTTGAGAACAGAAGGACAAAAGCAAATGACCAAAACTTATTTTTGTGACTTTTGAGGGGCTTTTATTGTCCTTAACTACATCTGTCCCTTAGCTGACTTTTTAAAACCTGCTTTCTATCCATCTCTTTTATCCACCTGTACCACATATCTACATCTCATCCTTACACACTCCCTGCCAAATGCATTTGGACAAAAATAAATATGTATGGAACTGATAAAAAATTTTCTACCAGGAAAACATGCTAACAAGTGCATAGAAAACATTACTCAGGCCTTGTGATGGTCACAGAGAAGAGGAATAGGAGAGGGGAACATTGAGAGGATAGGAATCGTTTCTCTTGTGTAAGCCTTGCTGGAAAAGACCATTAAGGAAAATGGTTTTTGCTCTTCGAGCATAATGTATTGGTTTAGCGTTTCAGTTTTAGCCTGGACAAGCTTGTCCTGCTACACTACCAGGCCCATTAAACCTGATGTGCAGGGGAGGGCTGTGAGCTATGATCTACGAGAAAAGAATGCCTAAAAGCTTTCACGTGTCCACGACATATTGTGCTGCAGAATACTTTTCTATTTTGTTACATCCACAAAAGATACAGGTTTTCACACTGTATTTGAAAAAGTAAGCTTTGGACAACCAGCTAGACAAGAATCAGACAAAAGGAAATTGTCACAACACACTGGAAAACCATTCCGTAGCGGGAGACTCTTGTTTTCAGGGTGTATCTTTCCAGCAGCATTATTGAATTGCAAAAAGTGCAGCCTTGCAAACCCATACAGAGAAGTCTTTGAGCAAAGCCACATCTATTTTTTTTGGGACAGGTTGACTCCAGAAGCTTTGGATCTGTGGGATATTTGGCTTCAGTTAAGTTGAATTCTGCTTACAAGCAGAATCAGATTAAAAATGGGGTTCCTTACGTTAACATCGGTTTGCTCAGCTCTCTGGAGGGCAGCATGGCTGGTGCAGATGGTGAGGATACATTCATGAATAACAGTGCGAATACAGACGTTGCTCGGCTCAGTAACAATAACTTTTGAGATGGGGAGGGAAAGAAGGGGGATGTTGGCTCGAGCCCCTGTGTTATGACCCAGTCTATTTCCAGCCATCCCAACTCCTGCGGCTTTGGACCTTCATCCCCAGCTCATATCTTCCTATGTTCTTCCCCTAATTACACACAAGACCTCCTGAGCAAAGCCATCTCACTCTCGAGGAGCGTTCATGAAATCTACATCTCTGTCTGTGAGGGTATGAAAAAATAATGGCAGAACTGAAATTATTACACTTCACAGTGCCTGAAGATTTAATGCATTTTTAATCAAGGTAAGCTTGGCTGGGATACCACTGTGATGCTCTCCTAATAAAAGCTCCCCATTCTGGGGTTGAGAGATTCTGTGGTTTTATTTCAATATTTGCATGAGACATGGTGAGAGGGAAAAAGTGCTGGAAATCTACAACACCTCTCAAAAGTCCACACATCCCTGGTAACATGCTAAGGTTTTGTGAAGCAATAAAAAATTGGTTTTAATAAATCATATTAAAATTTCCTTCATCTTTATTGTGACATATATTGTGTGCAGTTAGTCTAGAATAACTAAACCAGAAGGAGGTTTTTTTTTTAAATCATCTGACTGCAATAGTGTGCACACCATAGGCTATTACTTAAAAAAAACACATTTTGGTTCCTTTTCAGCTTTTTTTAATTTAAGTTAAAATCTGACTGTGAATCTGACTGACCTGAAATAAAGTTTGGGTTTCTCTATCCAGATTTGTTGCTATTTCTTTAGCTGGACCTATGTTTTGCAGAGAGATTTCACAGATTGAAATTTTATTATATGAAAGGTTTTAGTCGCTGGATAAAAAAAAAAAATCAATGTCAACCTCAGTAATTAGAAAAAATAAGGGACAACGGTGATTTTAAAAAACTAGAAGTTTGTACCTTGTATAGATACAAGATAGAAACTGATTAAGGGTTCTACAAGGTTGCAGCTATTCTGAAGCAGCTGCAACAACATTTTACTTTCTTGTATTTTCCATATAGACAGAATGGGAAAAAATTGTGCACTTTTCTAAACACCATTCAGTTTGGACCCAAAACCTTCAGAGATGTGATTTTTTTTAATATCACAGTCAGTTAAAGATTAAAGTTAACAGAAAAAATCTACGTGACAAAAAAACGATTATAGTTTTGAATTTGCATGATACATGTTCGACATTCTGTCCTCACAAGAAGGCTCTGAACAAGAGATTTCCTTACAATCTGATTTGGAGAAAGTGTGCAAGACTTAGTAAGTTTTTCTAGTTCAAGACATGGTAACCTATGATTAAATAGGTCCTATTGAAGGACTCAAATGGCTGAAAAAGAACCAAACTGTGACACAAGAAAATACTAATTTAACAGGATTTGCTCTTTCTTCATTACTACGTTAATGAAACATTCTTGTTCTTTCATTTAAACTCTACCAGATATAGTAAAACTTTGCAGACGGTGAACATAGATGTTCACACTTTTTACACTTGCTGTAGGTTAATTAGATTATGTGCTTAAAATTGATTTAACTCATCTGCAGACAGCTAATGAAGTGAGATTTCTGCAAAAAGGTCAAGGTTTTGATATGTGATATGATTACAGCCGAACTCAGCAAGGGGGAGGTGGAATTATAAAAAAGGAGGGGGATGTATTTTCACTCTGAGCACTGACTTTATGTAGAGATCTGTCTAAGAAAGATTAAATTTAGAATTTAATAAGCATTATGATCAAAGCCACGACCACCTGTGCTGTGGAGGGGCTGGTTAGAAAGGCAACTGCACCCAACATAATGCATGGAGATCATAAAAAGAAGTGTATAACTCTCCAATAACATAATGATTAAATCAGAGTATATATATACAGGGAGAGTAAAGATACAGTATATGAAAATATGTTCATATGAGTTTTAATGTTTGCTTTGAGTAAATGCACATAACAGCCTGCTTTAGTACAAGCCTCTATCACAGCACCCTGAGAAAAAAGGAAACAAAACTATAACACAAAAGTTAACAGAAATATATGCCGGTATGATGGAAAGGCATAGCTTTATAATATTTTTTTTTTGTTTCAATGTACGACATCGTTCAAAGGGACAAATTGCCATATGCTGAATATTAAAGCAGCCGTAGCAATAGTGGTAGGCTGATCGCAGTGGATATTTAAGAAACGGAGCTGATGTTAGAGCTAATGCGATGTTCTCCTTGACAGTGCTGTCTGAAGTTGGATATCTGTTCGCCTAAATTTAACAATAAAAAGCATAAATGTGTCAGTGTATCGAGACTTAAAAAAAGAGGTAATGTGTTTCTCGGCTTTCTGACTTTTACGTTCCTCCGTTCCTGGCAGCATTGTGGAGAAGGTTGTTATTTGGCACTTCCTTAAAAGACGAGGCAGTCTGTCAACAGGAGCAAACGGCCACCGCCAGTTAACAGTCGTGAAGAGCTGCTGCGTTGGGGCAGCGGTGTGGTGAGAAGGCTAGGGGTCAGGTACAGGATCTGTGTTTAGAAGGGTAAGGGGACTACTTCAAGGTGGGACAAGTTACAGTAACCTTGAGCAAGCCTGTAAGCCCCCCTTCCCCAAATCCCAGAGGTCTCAACAAACTCAGAAACACCTAAACAGCTTTGGAATGAAGAATTTCCTAAACTAAGGAATGCTAAATTGCTTTTAATGTCATGTGCCTTTGTTTTAGTTTACTTTGCATGTGGACAAACTAACATTAAGATACAAAGCACCATAAATAATCATATTTAAGTGATAATCATGACTCCCCTCAACACTAAACATTCTGCTCCTTCTTTCAGCAGACATCCAGAGTATCACACCAAAAATAAGGTTGTTTCCTCTGCTCGACCAGCCCCCTCATCTGCTTGTTTAAGTAGCTACACAGCAATGAAATCAGTGACCAATGGGACTTTGGATCTGAGACATGCGAAAACCACGTCTTCAAGAAGTGACAGAAGCTTTAAGACTCTTGACGGGGCTCCCTCTCCACCACATGTCATGCAAAGAGTGTGAGACACTCAGAAAGATTGCTATGATTGGCCTCTAATAAGCAAATTGAAAACAAAAGACAGAGATATATCGGAAAGGAGGGAGTAAGATAAAGAGACAGAGAAATAGAGTCTGGTAGCTCAGGCTCAATACCCCCACCCCCTTTTCAATGCCCCCTCTATTCCTCCTGGAGCTGAGGGTGAGCGGCTTGTCCTGGTTTTTTTGTGGACAGAGTTGCTTGGAGAACCAGCAGGTGCTATGGACATCACTCTTCAGGCTGGGCAAGCATAGGCCCTTCATTGCAAGGCCCCCCAAGGCAAAGGAAGAGCATAGAAATCATAACCTGGGGGAGGGCGCTCAAAGCAATGCCTGTAACACATAGAAGCAAAAGACAGAAAACACAATTAGAAACTCTAGTCATCCCTAAAATGCATACAGTTCCCAATGCTTATAGTTATCAGTGTATAAAGAACCATTCAACAGTCTTGGGTCCGAAACTGTAAAGCCACTCTTTGAGATTTGTGTTTTCCTGTGTTATTTAAATTTGTTAATTCTAGAGACCCTTGCTGTCTTTTTGACCATATAGCTTTAGAGTAGAAGAGTTTAGATGGGGGCTGCACAGTGCAGCAATGGGTAACACCGTTGACTTGCTGCAAGAAAGTTCTGGGTTTTATTCCTAGCCCACGGTCTTTCTACATTGAGTTTGCATGTTCTGCTTGTGCATGCATGGGTTTTCTCCGGTACCCCGGCTTCCTCCCACAGTCCAAAAACATGACAGTTGGTTAAGTGGTATCTCTAAAATTCTCCTTAAGTGTGAGAGTGTGCCTTAATGGTTGTTTTTTTTTGTGCTGCCCTGCTATAGACTGGCTATCTATCCAGGGTGTACCCTGCCTCTCGCCCACTGATAGCTGGAGATTCCAGCACCCCTTCTGACCCCATCAGGGATAAGCGTGAAGGAAAATGGATGGATGGAGTTTAGAGATACTCCTTCTCCTTAATTATTTCATTTACTTTATGCAATTAACCAAAATCATTAGAATTCAAAAAGCCCCATGGCATGATACTACTACCATTGTGCCAGATAACTAGAAACCATGTTTTCAGATCTAAAAGCCTGATTTTTACTCTTCCAGTTGTTACTTATAACCATGACAATGCATCAATTTTTAATATTTGGACAACAAACAATGCACTTATAGCTTAGTCTGCATTAGATAATTAACTAATTATTTAAATCAGTGAGGGGATAACAGCCCCTTAATATAATACTTAAGAGGGAATAAGGTTGTTCCTTGGTTTGAGACACTCACCTTAAGTCTAAACATTCATATTGTGATTATGGCTAAACGGCTCATTTGTTTTTATTTTTATTTTATTTTTTTTTTTTTTTAATGGTCACAGAATTCCTTTCAACATCTTTAAACTGAATTAAAAATTTCTTTTCTTGTTTTTTTTAATCCACCAGAACTTGTACCATTATACTGGCCACAACTTAAGCACCCTGTTGCAAAAATATTCAGACTTGTTAATTGTTTACATCAGTACTTGTTTTGTGCCACAAAATTACAAGTAGCAGTGAATAATATATACTATAAATACAAAATAAAGGAAAATCATTAGTTTATAGTATATCTCAATAAAATTGCATGTATTTAAATTGCACTCAAATGTACTGTCTGCTGGTTTTAGACAAAGCATCATGTTGTTTCTAATGTTATCTTACACATCTAGAAGACTACCTCAGACATGTCCCAAACATATTTAACAGTTTTTACTGGGAATAACAGCAGGGAGTAAGAAAAACATTCATACATCATGCTGTGAAACACAAGCCTGTCAATGTAATAAACTCTAGAGGCAGGATCATAAACAGAAATCTTTTATGTTCAGTTGTATTTTATCTCTTTTCGCTGATATGACCCTTTTATTCTTTCAAGGTAAAATTTTTTTGGCGATATGTAATGCTGCATAAAAACAATCTTTTACATACCTCCACCCAGCTGTGTTTTCCTTTGTTGCTTTTTGTGCTTTTAGATCTATGATAAGGAGTAGGCTTACTACATCACATAGTGAACTACTCAAAAGAGTCATTCATTCAAGAGTCATTCATACTAGAGGCCGCTCGGAGTTTCTTTAAGTTTGTTATACCCTTTTGTCTCATACACTGTCTCTGGGATATTTTAAGAGCCAAGAGATGGTTTAATTTGAGTCTACTTAGATGCTCAAAGAGGCTGACCCAGGTCACAATCTTTCTTCTTGGAGCTGCTCACATCTGGAAAGTGTAATGATGAAAAATCAAACTTTGCCTCATGTGTCAAAGAGAATAAAAGATGAGCTGGATTTGACTCCAAAATAGGGGGATGCTGCTAAATAGCACAAGGCAGGAGGATGGACATAGTCAGAGGAAATCATTGTTTTTTATCATCATATAAACAGTGTCGTAATAATGTTTAGGTCAGGAACGGCACAGTTCTGTCTCTGTACGACGTATCCGCTGAAGTCTTGCTTTGATCAAGCAAACTGCATCTACGGCTGTTCCCAGAGGCAGTACTTTTCCCACCATCGGCAGAAATCGAAGAGGAAAAGAAGAAAGGCATGAGGAAGAACAGAGCCTTTTAAGTTGATGTTAAAGGAAAGGAGGACAAATTCATGCTAGCCGTCTGGCTGTTTGACAACTTTATATTCTCAGTATGCATTCTTTACTATCCAGAGGGCCACTTATTTTCTCTTGGCTTAATTTAACATAGCCTTTATATATATATATATATATATATATATATATATATATATATATATATATATATATATATATATATATATATATATATATATA